AAGATTTTCTTCTTCACATGATTTCTTAACAATCAAACATGCAATTTAACGGACTTTCTGTGTGAAGAAATGATCTTAACTTCCATTTCGATTTTACGTCAGTTTTACTACTTAAGTCAGGACTACAGTTTTCTCCAGGGGGCATTTGTTTTAAGTATTCATGTTTTTGCTCTTGGTTTCCCCTCATGTTTCATATTTTTATCTCCCACTAACAGACCACTACAAGAGCATCTCTAGCTGCAGATTCATTGCTTGTTTTAAAGTCAGCGTGAATTATTACACAGGTAACCTGCAGAGTTCTGCTTAAGTCATTTTTCCCGCTTGTTTCCGGGAGTGTCACTGTGAGTAATGATAGCGCCCGGAGAGAAAATACACCGGACTTCAATACAACACCTTCCTTTGGAGCATTCTTCATGATAACAGGAGCCGTTTCTCTTAAGAACGAGTAGGTTTTCATCAGGAATCGAATCTGGAGAAAATGGATACAGTTATTACGTGAAGGGAGACAGTGTATCAGTATTAGCTGCTTCTACTGTAGATGTATGTCTTCACTCCAAGAACTGACAAGCTGCCCGAAATGAAACATCCAGATACTCACAGCCCCATCTCTTTTTTCTTTTTTCTTTCTCTTTTGTTGTTGACTCATGATTTATGTGCACTCCCATCAAACAGGAAGCAGTGCAGCATGGTGGGACAGAGAGCAGCACAGTTGGAGAACTTAGCTTAATTTGACATAAACTGCAGTTCAGAGATGATGCACAATCAATCTGCGTAGAGCAGGGAGCATCATAAAGCAGCAGTGAACCGCATTTTGGGGCAATTCAGGGAGTTTGAATATTTAATTTCTGCATCAAACTCAGCAGTTTTAAAATGCTATGAACATCATGTAAATACAAAAAAGACTGATTGGACTCAGTCAGATGAGGATCATGGCCGGGTTTCCCAGAAGCATCTAAGCACCGAGATTATCTCACTACATCAAACAGAGCTAAAATCATTTTAGTGCTAAGACTGATTTTGGAGGCCGGGGCCGATGTGATAAAGAGGATGAGGAGGTATTAGTGTATGGGTTTGTGATGTTCAAATACTGGCTGCAGTGAGATCTGCTGCCAGAGATGCTTTCTCCTTTGGTGACTTTCCAGTTGGAAAGCTCCCATCTCTGGCTAGCAGGCTATCCTTATCACAATGTTCCAGCTGAGGGCAGTGAATTACTGAATTACTGCTTCTACAATTTGGATTACCTATGATTGCCAATGAATATGTGTGTAATAGAGGTGGGAATCACCATACATCCCACGATACGATATTATTGCAATTTTTAAAAATATTTTGCGATATTCAGATTCTGTACATAAAGGTAAACTTTATCAATATTCATTT